GACTTAAAGGGAAAGGTGCGTCTCTTTGGAGAAGTAGGCAGGATAACAGAAACTTAATGCTTAAGACAGCTACTAATATACAGTGGACGTCAGCTACAGTCTCCTACAAACCCCCACCCTACTGTCTACATCTAGTGCAGAGCTCAGTGATCTGTTCATTTTTCCCATTTACCAAAGCAAGCAAGGATACACCTCAGTTTGGACGGTTGCCACAGCTTGGGTTGTATGGACAGAGGAACCTCTGGAGCAGTGAGGCCACCACACAAACCACAGGCTAGGCAAAGAAAGCGGTGACTTGAGGTGCACAGAGAGACTCAGAAACTGGAAGCTGCAGAGTAAATGTGGCCTTAGGACAAACAACACTGGCTGACCACACCCAGTGAGAAATGTGGATCAGGATTCAGCATTCACACACAAATATGTAAGTGTGGAAAGAAAATAGATCTTAGCAGTGAATCACTATCCCTACCCCATTTATGGCAGATTCTAATACTGCAGACCTTAGAAAGAAACCACTCATTTAAAAACACGTTTTTATTTCTTCATTGTTTTGGGGGGGATTTGGGTTTTTCTTTTTCTCTTTGTCTTTATTTTACTGTCTTTTCTTTTTTCATCTTCTTCTTGTTCATTCTTTTCTGTTACTTATACCTAATTTCATTGAGTTTTTTTTACTCCTTAAGAGGGTCCTTTTTCTCACTTTCTCTTTCTCATGATTAAAATCACACCTTGGTCTTAGCCTGATAGAACCTCAAATTCTGTGAGAGGGCTTTAATCCTGCTGGAACCCTGAAATGATTCATTCACCTCTTTTTATTTAGCCTTCACTATACACTTGTTTGGGAGATTGTGGACCCGATCAGCCCACAATAACTAAGGGATATTATTAAAAGCTACAGTGGTAGCTTTTATTGGTTTTTTATTATATGTCAATAACCAGTTTATCTTTGACTCTATTGTTGCTGATTTTGTTGCTCTTGTCAGCATGTCATAGTTCTTGCTCTTAATTGATCTGTCTTTGTGTCAGAAACAATACTGTAGTTCATTTCCACAGAACTGGATGCTGAACCAACTGCACTGCATCCTCCCCTCCACAATTAGTGGAGGAGGTTGGATCTTGAGACAGAGGCAAAGGTCTATAGTTAGCCATGCTCAGCGTATATCACTATAAAGCAGACACCAAAGAGATCTCCACACTACTAAGGAAATCTTTTCACTATAATTGCTGTGCAGACTTCAGTACATGTACATACACTCACACACACACAAATAGAAACATGAGAAGACAAGGAAACAAAATGCTTCTCAGAACTGCCAACTCTCTAATACTGATCTGTGGGGCATCAATGGAGAGGAAATCAAAAGCCAAACAGCTGACTTACATGAAATGACAAAGGAGGACACAAAAATCATATCAATAAGGTTCTCATCAAGGTCAAAGAAGATATAACTAAACAGGTAATGGACTTAATAAGTAAATGATCAGTGAACTTAGAGAAGACAATCATAAAAATCTAGCTGAACTAAAAAGATGATACAAAACATGAGTGACTAGTTTAGCAAAGAATTAGAATCCATGAAAAGGTACTAAACAGGAATCTACCCAGGATATTAAAAATTTTAATGACAATATGGGCAGCAGAAGTATCCAGTGCCAGGACAGACTGTCAGAACTAGAAATATGTCTGATACAGATGACCAAATACTCAGAGATACCTTAAAGACCAAAGAACATTAAAAACTGGATCCAACAGCTGCTAGGTGATGCAAAGAAGACTAAGATTAATTGGATTTAGTGAAAAATCAGAAAACAGCATAAAAAACTATTTACAAAAATAGTACCAGAAAACTTTCCAGATAAAGGGAAAGAATTTAACATACAGAGAAGCAAGGCATATAGAACCCAAAATAGCCATAATCAGGAAAGAACTTCTCCATGGCACATCATAATCAACATACCAGAAGTCCAACACAAGGACAGAATCTTAACAGCTGTTAGAGAAAATTAAAGAATCACTTATAAAGTTTCATCCATTGGAATTATAGCAAACTTCTCAACACAAAGTCTTAAAGACCAGGAAGGCTTGGAGTGAAGGGTTTCAAGCCCTGAAATAAAACATCTTCCAACCCAGACTAATGTATCCTGTAAAACTACCTTTCAAAATTGATGGAAAATAAGGTCTTTCCATGATAAAAAAAAAAAAGCACCATAAAAAATTCATGACCACCAAATCAGCACTCCAGAAAATTTTCAAGGATGTCCTAGGAAGAGACAATGAAGTCAACAATGCAAAAAAAGTCTAATGGAATGAATACACTAGGCAGGGTGAGTAGTTAAGCATAAGGGAATAAAAAAAATCAGCAACAGAAAAATAATGTAATGGCAGGAATAAGTCAACATCTCTCAGTTATAATGTGCAAGTTCTCAATTCCCCAATCAAAAGATACAGTTATAGTAATGATAGGCTGATGATTTCATGGCTGTATACATCTCCAAACATATCAAGTTGTATATAGTACATTAAACACATAATTATTTTATGTCAACTATAGCTCAATAAAACGATTTTTAAAGTATATAGTTACATATTTCAGCATATGTAACTATATGTGATTTATGACTATAGGCATAACAATAGCCTACATATTTAAATACCATATATAATATATCAGAGTGGGCTTTATCTGGTTTTAATTTTGTTTTTGCCTTTTCTCTGTTATTTACAATCTGTATATTCTTTTGTTTGGGAAAAGGATTTGCACATTTCTCTTTAAATTCTTTTCTTGGACTTTACTTCAGGCATACAAGGATCGATTAATTTATAAAGAAGTGCAATGGAGGACCATTTTTGGTAGCATTAAAGAGAATACAGGGACTGGGGGTTTAGCTCATCAGTGCAGGGCCTGCCTGGCAAACATGAGGTCCTGAGTTCGACTGCTGGTACAAAAAAAAAGAAAGAACACCGAACCTAAACTCCTAAAAGAAACAAAAAAATCTAGGAAAAATGTTTTACCATAAAAGTATGGCTTTCTAATGTCGTTCTTGGTTGGAAAATCTCCTTCTTCCCTTTCCTCTGATCTTCCCTCCTTTTCTCTCCAACTACCTAGCTGTCAAATTTTTTTTTTTTTACACAGGGTCTCACTATGTAGTTCAGGGTATCTTTGAACTCACTGTGTACCCGAGGCTGGCCTCAGACGCGCGGTAATTTTCCTGCCTCAGCCTCCCGAGTGCTGAGATTACAGGTGTGTGCCACCATGCCCAACTAGATTTATTTTTAGAAGGCTGAAATTTATTAGTCACTACACTAATAGAGGCAGCCTCTGTTATGAAATGTCATCTAGGTCAAATTTGTTTCATTCCTTTTTTGGTTATTTATTGAAAGGATATTTATAAATTATTAATGCAATGGACAGGCATTATAGTAATGCATGTTATCGGGGAAAGTGTGTTAACAATAACTTTGCATCCTTTTGGGTTTATATTTTTTCATAGTGAAAGAAGAGCTTCCTCTTCCCCTTCTGACTTAACTATAGAAAGCAACGCAGTCTGCAACTTGTAAGGAGCTGGAAAGACACAGCTGCGGTCGGCTGATGTACAGCTCAGGACGCCCTTGGCCGAAGGCACAGAAATGTAGTTCTGGCGGCCTGCTGCGCAGGCGCACATACTGGTTTGGGATCTGCGTTGCCCTACACGCGACCGTGCTCTTATTTTTCTGTAGAACTGGTGAGCTGCTTTTTTTTCTCCCCAGAGTTTCACTTCGTGAGCCTAGAGGACTGAGCCTCCGCTTGAGATTCTTCTTCCATCTGGTGCACCACCACCCCAAAGCGGACCTTGGCCAGGCTTGCTGGTGAGGGCAGAAGAAAGATGGAGATTAGGGGTCAGGCTTGGTGTTTGGGTGGCGTCTTCATGGAGGGGGTAGTGGTGACCTAGGGTCCACACCTAGGACCTACATCTGTCTCTGGGCTAAAGGAAGCCAAGCCCTACCTGTGCATCACTGCCTTAAGGGTTAGGGCTTTGTGTTCTTTTTGGGTTGAGGGGCTGCAAGAACAGAGCTTGGAGATTTAGGACTTTTCTTTAACTATGATGGGATCAGTCGGGCATGTACCCAATGTGGTGAGGGCAGCCGCTCCAGACCTAGGCAGCAGTCTTGGAAATTCCAAGAAAACTGTGATCTAAGTACTCAGTGGCACTAGAATGTAGTCTGAAAATACATTTCCTTTGCTTTTCCCTGTGAAACATCACTTCTCTAGACGTGATTTTTGTTTGGTTCATTTTGTGGATGAACTTCTGAAGGTGCTTTAGGAAAGACCTGTGCAACTGATTCCTTTACTTTCTGGGGGCTGTGAAGAGCCACCACTTGGTGTCCTTTGATGGCATTTGTGGATGCAGTTTGAAAAACTTAAAATGCTTTATAGGTCTTACTATTAGTAAAGAAGCTGTTGGTGTGTTCCTTGTCACCCATCATGAGAGGGCTAGAGCTTTGGGGGAGTGCAGTGTGTGGTCCTCAGATTGCATCCGTGCCTTGAGGGACTCTACCTTAGCCTTAAATTCCATACACAGTAAGTGTGGCCTGTTTTAGTTATAAAAGAGAAAATAGAGGCCAGGGTCTGATGTCAAACCTACACAGGCACAGGTTCACACATATAGACACGTGAACACCCAGAGAAGCACATGCATACACAGGTGCTGAGCCTCTAATCAGAATCAGAGTCTCTCTTCTGCTACTGACCCAAGATGTGATGGACTTGGGGATTTTCAAGATTCAGAGGCAAGAGCTGGTTATAGGAATAAATTTCTTGGGTGTGTGGGAAAGCAGGGAATATGTTGCCAGAATCATAGTTAATGTGACAATATAGCATAGGTTAAGAGCATGGAGATTAGAATCATCCACCGGAAGTGGAATCTCTCTCTTACTGGTTTGCCAAGAGAGCGCATTGCCTTCTGCCCTCGCTTTCCTTGGGTAATAGGAGATAAAGGCAATTCTCCTTGATGGTTTTTAGTGAACAGCAAGTCAGGTGATGCATGCAAGGCATTTATTTGAGAACCTGGCAAATGGAGTACACTGAACTTATGACCTCATTAGTCAGTGATGCTGAACCTTTTAGAGACGAGGGCCCAAACTGCAATCTAAGACCCATTTATTTATCACAAAGTGCCAACACTGCAATTAAACCTGAAAGCTGAAATTTTAGTTTAGAAAAAACAACTCATACATTAACATCTTTGTCTAAAACAAATAACATTCTGGCACAGGTTCGCCACCAGTGACCTAGACAAATGGTTGTAACTAAAGTGACAGTAATTGTTACTCTTTCACCGGGAAGAACTGGTGGAAGTGATGAAAGGAAGGAGTTGTTTAAGTCATTCTTAAAGTATTAAATTGAGTGAAACAATAAAAGCTGTTTGGTAATTGTGCAAATAGAAATTCAAACCCAGGCAAGGTGAAGCATGGCTATAGTCCTAATATTTGGGAGGCTAAGGCAGGAGAATCACTTCAAATTTGAGTACAGCCTGACTATATAGTGTGTTCAAGGCCAACCTGAACCACATACCAAGACTTTGTCTCACAAAAAAAGTTTGAGAGCTGAGTAGAATCAGAAACTGAAGTTATGGGTAAAGTAAAGGGTGAGGGAGCCAGCCTCAGTGGATCCCCCTAGGCAGCCATTCATCCTCTTTTACAGTGTAAATGGAGAATGTACTGCAGTGTCTTTGGTTGCAGACAAAAAAGGTGATGGTGTGTATACTGTGAGCAGTAAGTATTCTACAAATGTCTTCTAAATTATATTCCCATCTGGAAAGAACTACCTAAACTCAATGTTTTCAGGATCTTGAACAATTCCTAGTCAATATTTATTTTGGTAATAAAAATATAATAACCAATATTCCGAATTTGGAGATGCTCATGTGTACTTGCAAAAGCCAATACTCAGCACATAGCACCATCAGATAAAGAATGCTATTTGGTCACAGGTAACTTCCCCAGCAAAAGAAAAAAGCAGGGACAACATAGTAAATGGATAAGATAGGTGCTAATTTCCTGTCATCTTGCAGACCTCGCTGCACAGGATGTAGCACCAGACATGCAAGGCCAGTAGACTCACAGAGAGGACAGAGGGGCGTCACTAGCAGAGGCTGAGGGAGGTGGCTCGGTCTCACAGAAGATGACAGGAGGCGGGTTACTGCAGCTCTGGTGGTGTTTCTGTGCTAGTGGTCAGTCTCTCAGGCTCCCTTTCCTTAGACATGACCTCACAAAGTCCAGGGGGATGCGAACGGAAGGCATGTGACGTCTTCACTCTTCATCTCTTCTAGAATATGCATTTGGATGTGTTTTGTGGGACAGAACAGGTAAAGGGTTTCTACTGCTTCCCATGGATAAAAGAAGTCCTGAGCTGAATTCTGTTTCCCCCACAGATGATGGATACAATGTATTTCACATAGTGGAGACAGATTATGATAGCTATGCTATATTTCAGCTCAGGAATTTCAAGAGTGAAGAAAGCTTTCAACTGCTGGAGCTCTATGGTAGAGTATTTTTCTGCTTACACTCATCCTGTGACGGGGAGAAAGGTGAAGAAAGGAACCCTACATCCAAAATGGTCTTTCCAGTCTTATCCTGGACTGTCTCTCTCCCACTGAAGTCAGACACTGACCTTTGGAAATTCCTCAGACTTGGTGATTGGAAGATGATGAAATCTCTCACTGGCCAGGTGTAGTGGCATGCCTGGGATTATGCCTGTAATCCTAGCACTCAGGAGGCTGAGGCAGGAGGATTGCCACAAGTTAGAGGCCTATCTGGGCTACATAGTGAGTTGAAGGCCAGCATGAGCTACACATTGAGACCCTGTCTGAAAAACAAAAGAAAGAAGGAAATCTCTCACTGATGCCCTACTGATGTCAAATTCAGGACAGGTTATATCCTACCCCCAAGACTCTATCTGGCACCCAACTCTTACCAGGCTTCCCCTACCCTCCTCCAACCCTGCCCCTTCGTTCACTTTGATAACAAAGATCCAAGACACAGCAGTCACTGGCACTCTTCCCGCAGGCCGAGAACCAGATGTGAGTCCGGAAATCAAGAAAAGGTTTGAAGAATTTAGTAAAGAAAATGGAATCGGTGAGCAGAACATAACAGACCTGACCAACGTTGGTAAGTTCAGCCCTCTGGCTTTCCTTTCCTATGTGCCATGTCACAGAAGGGACAAATCCAAGGGAGGGTAATCAGTGCCCTTCGCCCCCACCTGAAGACTCATCTGGTTTCTCTTGGCTGAAGAACCTGGAGCTGTGTCTGAAAGTGTTCTGTTCTGCCTCTGCAGATCGCTGTCTCCAGGCCCGGGATGGAAAGTAGCCTAAGCCCCCAGGTGTGTGACCTCTGACCCTGGCGAGGAGGGAGTGGACCGGGTGTCAGTGTCTTCCAAACGCATTAGGGGTTTGGGCCCAAAGATCCCAATAGAAATCATCTGGTGAGGAAGCCTTCGTGTAGAGTTTGAAGTTTCGAGTTGGAGGACCTGGGTTGAAGACCCAGCGCTACCATGATGTGTACTTTAGAGTTGTGTGGCTGTAATGTACCTGAAAATCCCTCGGAGATGGATAACATGTTAAAGAATTATGAAGACTCAGTGTGAAACGGAAAGCGAGTAACAAAGTACTGTGTATGAAACTCAGATATAAACGTACGTGGACCTGTGCTGTGGCTCATTTTCTAGGCCCAGGGGTGGGCTTGTTTCTGTTTAACTGATCACAAAAATGTCTTCCTTTGAATTCTGCACATCCAGGATTTCTCATCTGGGAATGGAGCACTGACTTTTCCTTTGTCCTCCCCGTTCCTCCCTCGTCTGTCTCCTACATCAGAATTTGTGTGGGGCTTCGTTCAGATAGTGTGTATGAAAGTCTCAGCAACTTGCCTAAAATAAGCAGTTAATAAAAAGTGGCTGTGGCTTTTGTCATGATTCCTCAATTTTCAAACATTCTTCAAAAACTTCTGATGCCCAAGATAGTAGAAGCAATTGTAGGATTCTTCATTATTTCCTGTCTATTTTCCATAGATCCAGTTGAGGGAAGGTTCACGTGACACTAGTGACAGAAGAAAAGTGACTTACTTCTGCCTCTATTCTGATACATAACATGAGTTAGAATGAAGAGGTGAGCATCACCATTTTTCTCTGTAGCAAAATTTCTCCTTGTCCTCAGTTCAATCCCAGAGGGGCTCACGGTGGTTTCTGTGTTCTCTTGTCCTCTGCTGATTTAGTGCTGAGTGAACGCTTCCCCACCTGGACTCTGCACCATCTCTTCCTCATCTGCGCCACCTGCTGACAAGCTCTGTGACCCGAGTCCCACCGCACTCACACCTGAAGGTGTCATCTGGCATCTCCAGATCTTCCCTGATCGCCCAGGAGGGTTTCTCAGCTCACCAACAAGCAAAGCTTTTCTCTAAATTTCTCTGATTGCCAGACCTAGGGCAACTGTGTACGGATAAGAGCTTTCTCTGCCTGTTCAATAAATGATTAGCCCTGCAGGGCTGTGATTTGTCTTTGGGCCTGGGAGCAGGTGGGGCTGACAGTGAGTGAATAAAGGCGTGTCCTGGGCCCTGCACCTACAGTCCTCCTCTACTGTCAGGAATCAATTTCAGCAGCCTCCTCCTCTTCAGTAAGCCTGTTATCCCAGCCCCCGTGAGTCCCACGTGCCCTTTCATCTGCCTGTTCTTCAGGGACCTGATGAGACCATTATACACACCGTGCAAACACAAGGCTTGCTCCATAATTTCTCCACCTTAGAACACTCTTTTCCAGTGGGGCACTGAGAGATCTGCTGGAGCTGATGCTATCTTGACATGGGTCAGGACAAGCCTCATGCAAAAAAGAGCATAAAAGCTAATAAAAGAAGGTTATCTAGGTATTTGAAGCTCCCAGATCTCACTTGCCCAGATCACAGCACTAACTAGGTTCAAGATTATTACTTCTGGGGCTGGGGATTTAGCTCAGCGGCAAAAGCGCCTGCTTGGCAAGCGCAAGGTCGTGAGTTCGGTTCCCGGTACTGGAGAAAAATCCAAAATCAAAAAAAAAAAAAAAAAGAAAGATTATTACTTCTGAATCAACTACTTGGACTTGTTTGCCAAAATATGGTAAAAGATTATGTAGAAAGCCAGGAGGCATGTTAGAATTTCACTTTATTTTTTCTTCTCTTTCCCCCTGAAATAAGATCTTATTATGCTGTCCAAGGTCGTCTCAAACCCTTAGGCTCCAGAATCCTCCTACAGGCTCATTAGAAGCTGGGACTACAGGTCATGACAGCATATTTGGCACATGTGTGTGTGTGTGTGTGTGTGTGTGTGTGTGTGGTGTTACAGTGGATTGAACCCAAGACCTTCACACAGAGCTACATTCCCAACCCATTTTTATTTTTAAATTTGAGATTGGTTCTCACTGAGTCACTAAATTGCCCAGGCTGGTCTTGAACTTTTGATCCTCCTGCCTCAGTCTCCCAGAGTGCTGGGATTATAATTGGGCACTACCATTTTCGGCTTGCCTCCTCATTTTTTAATGTGGCCATTGAAGGGAAAAAGTAGCTGATACCCAGAGGTATTCAGCTTAGTCCATCCATGGGAATACTTAGAAAATAAGTGACAGTAATGATCGAGATGGTAGGAAATGGCTGGGAAGTATCTTAGGTCAGAAAACAGCAGCCTAGAGAAAGCACAGAAGACATATGACCATCTCCAGATCAAGACGGCAGCTGGAGGTCACATGGAAAGCTGCACCTTCGGTTCTAAATATTGTGCAAATGAAACATAAAATGCTAAGAACAACACACCTTGTTGTTGCTGTCTCTCTTCACCACCAGATGAAACCGATTAGTTGCAGGAAAAGAATCGCAGGGCTTCCACTGATTCTGCATGAGGATGAGCTGGGTAATTATTTCCTTGTATATTACAATGTAATAATAATACAAATAAAGTGTGCTGTCACAGTAATATGCTTGAATTGTCTCTAAAGCTCTTCCTGCCCCTCAGGCTGTGGAAAAATTATCTGCCAGGAAACGAGTCTCTGGTGCCACAAAGGTTAGAGGCGGCTTCTCCAGCAAGTTGTGTCCCTGTTGCTGACACCCGCATGGCTCCAGCTGGTAACTGTTCTTCCTCGTGGTGACAGGAACCACCGGACTAACTCACAAATGCCAGGCTTGTTTCGATGCTCTGCACCAGGCAGGGGCTAGAATACAGAATGGCTTCGGAGATTAGGGCCTGAACCACTGCGTGGCTGGGATGGCAATTTAATCCAGGCTGTGGGAAGAACAGATTTAATAGAGAAGGATGAATATCTCAGTTTTCAACATTTCATTCGTTCATCTAGCTAGTCCGGTTTAAAAACAAAAGATACAATCGTAATCCAGTGTGGTCTAATGAAGATAGAATTAATTTCTGCCTCCTATGAACAACCTCAAGTGACTATTGCAGTCATCAGGAGCAAGTTCTTTGTATGCTCTGTCCCTGGGAGCAATACCCTCACCTGCAATGTTAACGCTGTGTTACCAGAGGTAAGTGAAAAGAGACCACGGCAGAAGAAATGTCTTCTGTCTGCTCAACTCCCCCCACTGGCTCTGGGAAGTTCTTTGGTCATTATCTTCTGTGGCCATTACCTCCTTCCTGCTTTTGCAGCCTTGGAGAGGTTACTTTGAGGATTAGAGTCACATGCTTTTGTTATATACCAGGCATGTTTCTTTTGGCAATATAAATTCCTCAAAAACATCATAGACTTCTGCTGTATTTGGCTCTTGGCTTCTCCATGAACAAATACTCCCAACATCCTCGCTAGACATAGATTTAAGCCTATAAACTCGTATTTTCTAGATTGGCCTCTATGACCTGCCCATCTCATTCTTTTCGTCTTTCATTGAATGGCAACTACTTGGAGGCCTCTGAAATAAGATTCCAAAGTAGAGCCTTAACCCCTACTTTGCCAGCTGGCTCCCAAACTTCATGGCGGCAGCATTATCTCCTACTCAGTACAGCCATTCACTTCACAGCGACACTTTGTGTACAGAGCATGACTCTCAACTTAGAGTGAGGCTGAGGCACAGTGGGCCCCCTTTTGTAATGCTCGTTGCTTTCTCTTCTCACAGCTTGGTAGACTTGCACTTGAGGTCCCCCCTCTTGTAAGTTTTGCTGAAAGTACCAAGAAGCTGCCAACACGATCCCAGTATTTCACTACCCCGAATCTTTTGTGTCTAGTCCCCTAGGTCTACATTCCTTGTCAGCATGGAGTCTGTCTTCCAAGGCACAACAAGCAACCGTTTGACCAAATGTTTCACCAGCACATACGTAGAGGTTCCAGTTTTCCAGGCTGTGATATCTGCGTTTATACCTAAGGACCACCTTCCTCCAGTTAACTGGCCACTTATTTTAAGTTTTGTTGATTGCCTCAACTGTGGGTCTCCACCAAATTGCGCATCATTTGTGCTAACCTTGGCAAAAAAAGCCAGACACTGAACTTTTAAATGAAGACCTAAGTGAGAAAAAGACTGCTAAAATACGGAGCAATTTTATTTATAAAGATAAAACCTGAAAATGTTTCTTGGCTAGTTCCCTGAAAGATATTAATAACATTAATCTCAATCAAAGTTAGAGCCAGTGCTCCTTTATATACTTTACATTTGCCCTAATGTTATAGCGTCATTGCTAGTTTAGTTTACTTTGAATAGTCCCATGACACAGAGACATCTGGACTTTATAAACTCATTACTTTTCCCACGGATATGTAACAATCTGATGACTATTAACAGCAATTGTCTTTCTTTGGGAAATGGGCTCTCCTTACCATTTTTTTTTTTTTTTGTCTTTTTGAGACAGGGTCTCGCTATGCAGTTCAGGCTGTCCTTGAATTCACTTTGTAACTCAGGCTGGTCTCGAACATGCGAGGATCCTCCTACCTCAGCCTCCCCAGTGCTGGGATTACAGGCATGCGCCACCACGCCCAGCTCTCCTTACCACTTTGATGTTCCCAGGAAGTAAATAGATGCATTTTATTTTTTAAATAGAGAGTATTTTCACCTGATTGCAAGAAATATGCGCCACTAAAATATTGATTTAATAACAAATTTTCTGATTAGCAACAAAAAATTACTTTCTTCAACAAGTCTATGTTCTTATTGTTAGATCTCAGAAAGATATTGTTGAGCAACATGTATACGATACTATTTGTGTATTTTATGTAACACATAGAACAATGCTTGGGACCAAGACTTTAACACATGCCTTTAGGGGAATGTCACAGATCCAAACTATAGCAAAGTGGATTATTTTCTGCTTCTTGGTTTCCTGAATTTTTCAAATTTCTGAAAAGAAAAAAAAGACAAGGAGAAAGGAAGAAAAGAAAAGGGAAAAAATAGATAAAGGTATTGAGTTTTGAACTGCATTCATTTTCAAACACTCCTTCCACAGCTTCTAGGGACCACAGCATACCTTGGCTCGTGGCCTCTTCCTCCATCTTCAGAGCCAGCAACATCAGGACAACTTCTCCTCAAATGATCATCTCTCTGATCTCTTTCTCTGCCTTATTCTTCTACATATAGACCCTAGTGATTACAATGGATCCACCCAGATGACTTAGTAACACAAGGAAGTGAAGGAGAAAGCAGTTGTCTCACAACTCAGATAATGATTTATTCAGATGTTTTAGTGCCTCACAATAAAATAAAACTACACAAATTTTCTAAACAAAAACAACAACAAAAGAAAACAAAACAAGGGGATAAGTGCACATGACCTAATCATAATACCTGGCATCTAACTTAAACACTACCTAGTGAGAAAACAAGGAGAAAAATGCGATCTCCAATGAGCAGGAAATATAAATTAATTGAAACTTACATAGATGTTAGACTCAACAGACAAAGACATTTTAAAAGTGACTGTAACTAACCTCAGCTGAAAACTACAATCTGTGAGATCCAACACACACCACTGCAAGAACTATTTAAAGAAGTCCTTTGGGCAGGAAGAAAATGATGAAACTAAGGAAGAATACCAGAAACAGCAACTGTGTGTGGTTTCCACATTTATCTGATTACTTACATTTTTTAAAGATAACTGAATGCTAAAACAACATAACAGTAGTGTAGTGTGCAATTTTAACATGTAGAAGAAAAAGTCATGCTCAGAATAACACAAAGGCTAGGAAGGAAGAAATGGAAATACACTGTTGTAACATTTATGTAGTATATATGAAATAATAAACTATCACCCAAAGGTAGGCTGCAGTGTGTTATAGATATTAGAGATGTATACTATAAACTATAAACCAACCATTGAAATAATAAAACAAAGATTTACAGCTAATAGACCAACAAAGAAGATGAAATGGAATTGTAACAAATACCTAATCAAACAAAAGGCAGAAAAAGAAAAGGAAAGATTAACAAAAATGGAAAACAAATAAGAAGTCAGTTTATTGAAAACTTTTACCTGCTGGCCAGTATTCATACAAGTATACCTATTATGTGTTACATACATGCGCACGCACA